ATAAAGGCTCCGACTCTTACTTGCGTGCGACCTCCCTACTGAGTTGTTCGAGTGCAACTTATTAAGGAATGCGACCACACGAAAACACCAATGCTCTCCTTTTGCACGAAAAGATCTACTGGCTTGTCACAAAACATCGTGTTGAAGTTCGTTTTCATCAAACCACTCAGCGGGAACTCTCCGTTCTTGGCGCGGCCGCCCATGAAGGTATCGAGAGAGGGCAACTTCGATCGCGTGAAAACAGACAGCGAAGCAGCGCTGACCGCTTGCCGCCGGGTTCTCTTCTTGTGGTCCGTCGTTCCCGCAAAGTCAGGAATGCCGCGGTCAGTCCACGCCACCTCCGGGTACTCCTCCGCCTCAGCTTTCAACTCCTCCTGCTCCTGCTGCTGCTGCTTCTCTAGCTCCTCTCTCTCTTGTCGCTCCTCCTCCTCCACCTCCTGCCGCGGCCGAAGCTGGTTTTCTTTTTCCTTTTCTGCCGCTTTCTTGAGCCTCTCCTTCTCCCTGTCGCGTATGGCCTTGAGCTGGGTTGAGCACGTCGTCGGCAAACAGCGGAAACAGAGCGGCAGGTGTGTCAATTCATACCCTGCCGTGTTGTGTTCAATCATCCGAAAAAAAATAAAGTCGTACGAGGCGACGGTGTCACTAACACCTACGAATCGAGCGAGCGAGAGATTCACATGAAACTGACACGGCGATCAAAAGTAACACCATACAGGGCCAGTAGGGTGTTCAGGTCACGCACATGCATTTACATACTCCGAATCGTGAACTCGACATTCGTTGCCCCCCTGCCAACATTGGAAACCACACCCGTGTTGAGCAACAGGAGCCAGGCACGGAGGCGTCAACATGATCATGCAAGCAACCAGGTGCTTTTTACCAACACTTCTAAGATTATTTTTGGTAGAGACTAGCGACCACACGAGGCGAAACAAAGTGCCTACCTAGACACGCGTTTGTTCAGCGTTGATAGGGCACTCTCTACTCGGTATTCCAAGCGAAAAAAAAAACGCAAGAAACTGCTACAGCAGTATTGATTCGCACTATTTATCGGACTCAACTTTTGCACCACCATAAATCGTCGTCTTCTCTTAGGTCCGCCTATTCGCCTGGAAAATGCCAAGAGAAAAGTCTACACGAACACAAACCCACCTTTAGACCCCGCGCCCTCCTCTTGTTGCTCAGCAAGTACGCCCGCCTGTACTTGAGCTCCTGGATCTTCTTCATGGCGGCCACCACCTTCTTCTCGTTCTGCGACATGCTAGCGAAGGAGCCCTGGGTTCGCTCGTGGTCCCCCCCCCCGATGCTGCCGTCGGAATCATAGTTGGCTTCGTCTACTTGGCCGTTGCTCTTCACCGATTTCCTCCTACCCGTCGGCGTACTCTTGCATTTCTTTGCGGCACCCCTCCCCTCCCCTGGTGCACCCCCCGCCTTGCGCTTCCCCGGCACACCAACCGCCTTGCGCTGCTTCCCCGGTGCACCCCCCGCCTTGTGCCTCTTGCTGTCCCCTGGCTGCCTCTCGGTTGGTCGCTTCACCCCGACCTTACTCCCGATCTTCGCCTTGCTTTTCTTTCCCGCTGCAGCCTTTCCCTCCGCTTGCCGGCTGCTGCTGCTGCTGTTGTTGCTGTTGCTGCCGCTTGGTCTCATGCTGAACTCGGGATCGTCCACCTCTTCTCCGTCCACCTTTGCGGACCCTGGCGCTTTCTTCCCGGCCGTGGCGCTCGCCGACGGCACCGGCGCCGCCATTCCTAGCGCTTTCTCCTTTGCAACTCTGACGACATCGATGAAGGAAGTATGTACGTTGAGTCCAAGCTGCAGACGGTCGAAGTGGTTGTGCTGTTTATGGCCTGCCTCACCTACACCCTCGCGCGCTGCCCACGGATCGTCGTGTTTCCGATAGAGCAGATGCACCCAGCGATCCCCCTCCTCGTCCATTTTGTCTTTTTTCTCGAACAAGAACATGCCTGCCGTGAGGGCTGCTGAGTACGGCTGAACTGTGCCGTACGTGGGGCTTGGCTCCCACAACATGATGTTCACCCCGTACTCCGACGCCAGAAAAGAGAACCAGGTCACGTCAATCCATTTTGTTGTTGCACTTAGCTGGGCTTTCTCGCGAAACCAACCGACCGTCTTATCCTCCGGCGCCGTCATTTCTTCCACGGCAGCTCCTAAAACATCCGGTATACGCACACTCCGGGCCCGCCCAAGCTGGTCTGGTGAGAGTACATGCTGTCAAGTCCTCAACACCGGATGCGCCAAGAACATGTTCCGTGGCTCGACGGGCGACCACGCTCCTCATGTTCTCTGGGGTGGGGGCGGCCCTTGTTCTACCGAGGCAAACCTGCAGACCCGCGGACATCGCACTAAACCCGCAGTGGCCATCCGGCTTTACGGTATACACACCAGCGCGGTCGGGCAAGACCATAACCCTCCCACCTCTTGTCAATTCTGTGCTGCAAATGATGCGCGACGCAGATCCATCGATGTGCTGCTGTACCCGTTGGCCCAACGCAGCCGGCTGGGGAGCTAGCTCCTGTTCCTTGCGAACGTGATACACAGGAACCCCGTCCATAGCGCTCGTGCGAAAAATCGCAACAAGCAGGAGGAAAAACAGCATCATTATCGCGTTTCTGCGTGCTGGACTGAGGTCCACAGCAGCACAGCAGCAGCGCGGGATGCAGGGTGCTGCGGAGCATTGCAACTCCCAGGCTTTCAATTTTCTGTATAGGGGACGTGCTGTTTCTGTCCCCGGTCGTTACTTTGTTTCTTTTCGAGCGGTCTAGTCGTACCGTCGAGCCGTCGTCGACGCAGGTATCCACAGCTCAATTCGGTTCGAAAGTTGTCGCATATAAGAGTTATCGTGCCTGCTAACATGCCCGATTCGGGGGTGTAGTCACGTAAGGGTTTACGACCGACCCTTTTCCCGCTAGCCTGTGCAAGCAAGGATCCCAGGACTACTTGGTAGACGTCACGTCTCAGGGACAACAGCGAGACAGCATGATGCGATAGTGTGGATGTAGCTGATCATGTCAACGGCCAGACTCGAGAATGCACATTATTATGATATAATAAGCAGCACTCTGTCCTGGCCCTTAGACCATAGTCTATGTCTTCTTCAAATCTAATCAAGTTTGTGGCGCCACTCCGCAACAACGACACCGCCTACACAGCACACGCACGGTGCGAAGTCACCCACGTTGTGCGATGGGGCGTTGCCCCATGATGTATGCGTACAAGAGGGAAACATTTGGTGGTGTGTGCACAGCCGTGACGCTCATACAAACGACGACTGGAGACTGAATCATAACCGGCTGGAGAGAAACGAACTTTCTTCTTCATCAGAACTTTCTGTCGGCGAACGGGTCGAAAAAGCGAAAAAGCGCCGCTTCCTGAGAACCCATAACAATTTCTCAGAATCAACTCTTAGCCCTAAACCTTTCACAGCTCTGTCGCCGTGTGTCCCAGCAGCAACCAAGAGCGAGCGAGCGCAAGCGAACGACGAGAGAGCGCGCGCGAGCGAGAGAGAGAGAGAAATAACGAGAGAGACGGGCAGGGAGACGGAGTGCACGAGCTCATCCCCCCGGTGTCTTGGTCTGGCGTGGCGGAAGGGCAATCCGTGATCTCCCTTTCCTTTTCATAAACCGACCGAAAAAAGAAGACAGAACGCAGCAGCAGCGGACTGGGGTTCGCCATCATGCCAAACGTCACGGACGAAGAGCTTAACGGAGCAGCGGCTGCCTTGCTTGGTCTGCACGCGAGGAACGCCAGGTGTGTGTGTGTTTGCGGCTTGTGATCGCTTGCATGTTGCTGACGACCCCCTCGCGCGCGCGCTCGGTCGCCCCGAAGCGCAGCAGCGAGCGGGTGGATGGCGGATTGCGTGCGTTCTGAAAATGTGTTGACAGAATTGCGAAAAATCCGAGAGCGGCTTCATGCTCTTTCTTGTGTGCTGGCACCCGTAGACATCAAAAACGTTGCTTGCCCTTGTGTAGCCTACCTCCTCTCGCGAGTGCTCTCAACGCACGCCCTCTCCTCTCTCCCCTCCCAGCAGCAAGGAAGTTCCGCCGGCAGTCGCCCCCGCGCCAAGGCCAGCCCCCGTGGCGACCCGGGCGGACAACGACCAATCCAAGCCCCTGTACCAGGGGATGCCAAGAGGCCAAAATCCGACCTCACCGTCCGTGCCACCAGTCGCAGCAGCAGGGGACAAGGGGGGGCGGACCAACCCGCAGCAACAGCAGCAGCCGATCCCGGACGAGGAGCCACGCTCACACCCCTACCCGTTCTATCCGTCGCCGGTGCTCGCCTCGAGGTCTGGCCCGCCGTCGCACCCGGAGGAGCAGCAGCAGCAGCAACAGCAACACCGCCGCGTGGACTACTACGCTACTACCGCAGAAGTCCCTGTAGTTTCAAGCCGGCAAGACTTTGCTCCAGCTACTGGAGCAACAGGAGCGCGATGGATACCGCACCTTCCCCAAAACGCCGCCGCCGCCGCCGCCGCCGCCGCCGCCACCGCTCCTCCTCGGCGACAGAGTGAGTGGACACCTCGCTTCGATCCGCCGATGGCGGCGGCTTCGGATCCGCGGGCCGTCATGACACTACACCAAAACCCCCCTTCCTTGGATGCGTGGGCGTTCCTTCAGCAGCAGCAGCAGCAGCAGCAGCAGCAGCGGCGGCGGCGGCACGCGCAGCAACAACCCGAAATTTCCTTGCTCTCCGCTGCCGCCGTTGGTCCCGGGGGCAGCAGCAGGCAGCAATTTAGGGTTTACCAGCAGCAAGATGTTGCTCCGCATCACCACGTCGTTCGGGATCAGTACCACCGCGACTACGCGACCGTTACGGCTGCTGCTGCTGCTACTGCTGCTGCTGCGGCTCATCCCGCCACTGCTTCCGCCACCCGTCCTGCTCCGGCCCACGCCGCCCGCGTCCATTACCCCCCGCAGCAGCACGACTACCGTGGGCAGCATGACGAGCGGCAGTACTCGTACCCGCCGCAGCACGCTTATCAGCAGCAGAAGCAGCGCGAGTACTATCAAGAGCAACAACAGCAGCAACGGCAACGGCAGCTGCAACAAGAGAAGGTGGACAAACCGTCCATCAACAACCTCTGGAGCCTGATCCCGGGGACGCTCGAGAGGGACGGCGGTGGGGCCCGACCGGGCAATAACGGCGGTAGCAGCAGCAGCAGCAGTAGCAGCGCAGCTCCGACCCACTCCCAGCAGCAAACCGGCGGCGGCGGCGGCGGCGGCTACGACAACGACAACGACAGGTGGCTCGCCCCGGACGTCCACCCCCCCCTCACCGACATGGCCCGCAGGCACCGCGCGAGAGCGCTCGCCCGCCTCAGGGCGCGCCGCCGGGCCCTGGCGGAGGCGGCGGCGGCGACGGCGGCGGCAGCGGCAGCGGCGGCGGAACTCGCCCGGCCGGCGCCGGCCAAGCGTCACTCCTCCGAGACGACGAACGAGGCGGACAGCGGCAGCGACGGTGAAGAGGACGACGAACGCCACCGCCACCACCGCAGCAAGGTGTTCTTGGTGGACGGGGGGAGCGGGGTGCCTCGGGCGGTTAGCGGCGGGGTGGAGCGCGGCGTCAGCGGCGGCGTCGTGCGCGCGGTCAGCGGAGGTTCGACCGTCTGCGGCGACGAGGATGCGGCGGCAGCGACCTCCTCCGGCCTGCCCGCCGCCGGCGAAGGCGTGAAGAACGCAGCAGGGGTTTCTCATGACGTAGGCTGTGGCGGTAGTAGGGTCGGGAGAGCAGCCAACACAGCAGAAGAGCCGAAAACACCAGGGGGAGCGCCGCTCCTCACGTCAGCAGTCGTCAGCGGCAGCAGCAGCAGCAGTAGCAGCAGCAGCAACGACGACGACACCCCGGTCATCCCCGACCCTTCTTCTTCTCCGTCGTCGTCGCCCCCCCCCAACAACAACGCTAGCTCCTCCTCCAAGGTCGGGGACCTGTTCCAGCTCATGCGCAACGTCACCATGAGCTTCGGCGGGGGCGGCGGCGGGGGCGGCGGCGGCAGCCGCGGCGGGGCGGGCGGGGCGGTTGACGGAGAGGAGAACCTCGCCCGCGAGCCCGGGAAGCCGGTCAAGTACCGGTACCGCCAGGAGGCCGCCAGGTCCAGGAAGCGGACGCGGGGCCGGTTCGTGAGCGAGAAGGCGCCGGCGTTCGTGTCCATCACGGAGCTGATGGCGCTACGGCGGGCGGAGCGCGAGCGGCAGCAGAAGGCGGAGACGACGCCCGTGCCGGTGGGGGCTGGGTGATGTCGAGGACGGCCCCCCAACACCCTGCGGCGGCCGCCAGGGGAGAAGAAGAAATGTGCTTTTGCACGCGCAACATGCTGTTTGTTGTTTTGCGAAGGGATGTCATGGTGGGTGTGAACAGTGGAGGAGGTACAACTTGCGTTTGTTTCTAGAACAAGTAAATTTGTCTACTCATATTTTTCTTGCGTACGGTATAAAACACCACTTTTGACCGAGATATTCATGCACGTCTCTCTCTTAGGACAGAGCAGACCGAACGGTTATGCTATGTACGATAACAGTTTTTTTTTTTTTTCCCATACCGGCAATGAACGACCGCCGGTCGAGCCTACCCGTCTGTCGGATTCCGCTCTTCGTGTGTACATACGGCATAGGGTTTGCACTCTTTCGCGATAGACGTGTTCGCACTCTTTCCTTCGCATTCGTGTTGAAAACGGTTGCCGGTCTTGGTAGGTACACAGTACCTTCTACCTGGTGGAGAGAAGGCGACCATGTTGTTCGTGTTTTGCGCGGAAAAGTTAGGCCAGGTACAAACTTCTTCGTGCACTCTGTCAAAAGGGCGTGCGCCTGTACTTCTTTCTTTATTTTTTTTCCTCAGCCGGTGAGGTTTCCGGTGACGTAGAGGGCGGCGGGGGTTGAGGGCCGGGGGGAGGGGTAGTCAAACCCGTCCCTTGGGTGATGTGGCTGTGTTTTATCCCGTGGCGGAGGCGCGTGCAGTGTGTGCTTGGTTACTTGAGAAAGCCAGCAGATTTCGTCGTTGGTCGTAGCGGGGATGGCTTGCTCCCGTGTTGAATGTCGAAGCATGTACGCCCGCGCCCTTGTTGCAGTGGTCCTCTTTCGTGCCGCACGCCCTTACCGTGGTCACTCGTACAGCGTGCAAGCGGAGACGACTTTTTTGTGCTCTGCGTCGTGCAGAGAAGAAGTGTCGTTTGTTTTTTGTTTTCCTAAATCGGGCGGGTTGAGGCTGTAACTTGTAGGGTAGGAAGGAAGCAGCGCAAATGGTGCGCCTTCCAAGTACAGGGGTCGTTGTTCTTGTTGTGAGTCTTTGTTTCTTGCGTGTTGCCGATCCAAGTACACGGACTTGGATTTTAACCATATTTGGGTTTACAAACTAATACAAAGAGTACAGGAAAATGAAAACACTTGGTTTGGAAGTGTGTGACCAAAAATATTGATGATGCCGTGTTACACCGGCGGGAGAAAGCGAGTTATTCCGTCCATCCACCTTTTTGTGGCGGATGGTGACTTTACGGCTACATGGCTGTTGTCTCACACGGAGAGCTTACTCGTGCTGCTGCTGCTGCTGCTGCTGCTGCTGCTACACGATTTATTGCGTGAGAGCCCCGTTCGTTCTCAAAAGGCATCGATGAGTGGTCTCAACTGCAAGCTAAAACTGGTGGATAGTATCAGGGACTTTTTAAGAACATTTATTTCGTTCCGTGCACCCGTCCGCGTCCTCCTCTCGTACGTGCATAAACAACTGCACAGAGAGGACAGGGCCAGGTCCAGAAGCGGTGCTCGCAGAGGGTGCGGTGCGAAAAAAAAAAAATGAAAAGTGGTTTTGAACAACCAAACCGCGACCCGTTATTATGCTCAAACCTCGCCGCACTCTTGGTGTATGCAAATGCTTACTTTTCCTGCGGTTTGCCACCCCATGACCACCACCTGTAGTTGCGGCAACGCGTGCAACACATTTTGGTGAAGAACAACGAACAGAAGAACAATAATGGCACGGCTGTCGCATGTATGTAGTGCATTTTCACGTGATTCGGATACATTCACTGCGCACACGAGCGAACGAAGCGCTGGGAGCGCCAAAACGAACCACGATTTTACTCGGTTCACTATACAGCAACAAGATGGATGGTAGGTGACAGCAACAACCGGCCGCTTCCTTTGGTACTTTCATACAGCCGCCGCCCCATGAAGGTGTCTAGGGATTCAACAATCCCCCAAATTCGCCCCTCCCCCCCTCCCCCCCTCCCCCCAACTTTCCGACCGCGCGGCTTTTCGTATAGGACCCTGCCCCCCCCCCGCAGGAAACGTACGTGTCTGGTGTATTGTCGACCACAAACAAGAGAACCCGGCAAACATAGCGCGGCGTCATGTGTGGCAGGAAGACCGTCGCGTGGCCCGTTCGCCGTAAAAGTTGCTGCCCGACCGTCCATGGCTTGTTCTTGATCTGGCCTCTGCCGAGCTAAGTTTCTAGGTGGAGAAACACACACACACTCTAACATACACGAAGTATTACACGTGTGTGCAGAAGTATCTCTCACTCAATCGTAAATGTCTACCCAATCGGCAGGGCCTTCCGACGACCGACCGTACGTAAGTCTGGAGTGCATGTTCCCTTGCGACGGCCCCCATTTACTTGCCGGCTTGATGGCTGCCTGTCTCTCTCCCCCCTTCGTTCTTCCCCTCTCGGCGGGGGCAAAATCAATCCTTTGGTACCACAGCCAGCCCACGTGTGCGTCCGTTCATTTCCCGCCACTAGTGGTGGCACGCCCGCACCCTACGCACTACGCCAAAGCATTAATAATATGCTTCATCTTCTCAGCCTACTACTGAGCTAAAGCAAGCAGCCGTTTCGTCTTTTGACAGCCTAGAGCAAGGACACCCAAAAACAGAAAATAGGATGAGAGCAATACACACAAAAACGCACACACACATAAAAAATTTGGTTCTCGAAAACCACGCACTTGTCTGTCTGTATACAACACACAAAACTCTATTCATAGACTACTCCTACGATACAGCCCTGTGCGCGAAAACAATACCATTGCACTGCTCTTGCTTCAGCTTCCCCGAGTAACTTACAGTGCTTCTTAAAGCTTTCAGCTGTCTCGACGCACGAAGGCGCTCGCTGTGCGCGGTCGCTCTCCTGAGAAGAACAGGGTCGCCTAGCGCCCGATACCATACCAGACTCCCGAAAAGAGGTTCCAGGACAAATGGGGGATTGACGTGGATAGCAAAGCACCCCCCCCCCAACAACCAGTCCAGTTATCGACGTTGTTAAGTTTGACAAGTGGCCCGCCGGTAACACTCCGCACAATCGTTGCGGAAGCCCCCTTCCCATATAAGAGGGTGCGACGACATGATCGAAACACACACACACACCCATCGCCCACAAGCTTCGATCAAAAACGGGTAACACGCGGCAGTCTGCAGCATGTTTCGTAAAACAATGTTGTGGGAGCTGCTGGTTCGCACGGCAGCGACAGTTTCGTCTGATTTCTAAGACACCCCCCTCCAGTCGACAGCCGTCTTGTCTTCTCCCCCCACGAGCGACCCACGCCATGCTCTCTCGAACTCAAAGGCACCCACCCGCCCGTACACCCAACCCTTCCACCCCGCGGCGCTCGTAATTCTTCACAACACTCAAAACGGCGCAAGGTTCGAACTCCCCGCACGTACCAGAAACGAGAGCGCGGACAAAAGAGGGGAGGAACTTCTGCTTTCGTTTCTAAAGCATCGGGCTCCCTCCCTCCCGGCTGCCCCCAATAAAACATCACCAGTTCGTTTTTATGCACCAGCTTTTGCTGACTTTTGTGACGATGTCGGGGTGGTGGTGGTAACGGCGGCGCCAGTGCTTCGAAGGCCTTGCATCGCTAGTAGCGCGCAGCCGTACGCCGCGTCGGTGTTGGTGGCTTTGCCTGCCGGGGGCCGGGGGCCGGGGGGGGGGGGGGGGGGGGGGGGCCCCTTTTACACTTTTTTTTAAAACCCCCCTTTCTTCCCGAAAAAGGGGCCCCTCCCTGATCCAAAAAATGGGCGGGGCATTACCCAAATAACAAATTTTCCTTCAAGGGTTTTTTTTAAAAAAAATTTAAAAAAAAAAATTTCCACCACCCCCCGTATGCTTCTGGGGGGGGGGGGGGGGGGGGGGGGGACAAAAAACGTACCCTTTTTCCCACGCGTACCACCCAGTTTGCGGGTACAAAAAAAAAAAAAAAAAAAACGGACCCTCCCTTTCTTTTTC